TATTTCCTCGCACTCCACTGCCATACAGGATGGTGACGTTGTGGAAGTCTGTAGTCTGTTCAAATTTTCTACTTAGAATTCCCTCATAGTAGGGTCGGTCTCGTTGGTGGATCGTCTATTGCGGCTGCTGCAATTCCAAGATCGGCAGAGGTATGAGGTTGAGCAGAGGAAGCTGAGGAAGGAGGTGGAGGAAGCTAGGGAGAATCTGAGGAGGGTACGCTCTGGCTCCTCTTGGTGTTGGTTTTGTGATACTTGTGGTAGAGCCTTGAGGAAGAGCGGAGGATCATGGCACTGAGTCCACAGGGGATCTCAGTCGACTTACTGGATGATGAGGTCAGCGGTTGGTGGGAGGTCTGTGGGGGGGGAGCGCGAGGTTAGGTTATTCGCCGCTTCCGTGTTGATGGTATGACCACACTGGCAGAGGCGGCATTGCAGAGAGCGAGGGCGATGGCCGCTAGTAGGCATAGGGAGAAGGTGGGCGAGAGGAGAGGGGGCAGGGGGGGCAAGGACCCATCTAGCCTTGAGAAATGATGTTCTCTAGGGTCTGATAATAATGGGGAAATGACGTATACATGAGAACTGATTGAAAAATGTGTAAAATGCAAAATTGAGTTTCCCTCGGGAATATTATAGGTGTCCGGAGGACTCTCTGGGTGAATGGGTTATTGGGAGGGTTCAGGTTGAGGGGTGTGAGCACCTGCATGTAGCCGCAGAGGCTCGGTTGGCAGAAGCTGAGGCCAGGTTAGGGGCAGCGCATGCTGAGCCGTGGGGTAGGGTTATGAAGGCTTGGCGCTTGTTCACGGGGTTGGACCAGGGAGGAGTTGAGGAGGAGGCCCAGGAGGATAGTAAGGGTAGAGGTGTTCTCCTCTTTGTGGGTGATTTCAGGATGGTATGGTATTGCCTGTAGGTGGACAGAGAGCAGCTAATGCTCCTCCAGCAGATATCGAACGGGGCTTTCCAGGGGAGTGGGAGGTGGTAGGGAAGGACGGGGAGGGGTTCAAGAGTCCACAGTTCGGGATTTGATCCACCATGATCACTCGGAGTGAATTCATGTACTACTTGCCGTCTACACTGTGTGCAGTTTTGCGTTGTTTGTTTTGGTGGATGTTGACGGCTATGAGGTACCGCATTTTGAACTTTTTAATACTCTCTCTATGGTCCGCGATAGTGCCAATGTCGGTGTGGGAGAGTTCACGGCCTACCCTCGAGGGAAGCACGATTATTGTCAGAGGCTCGGTGTAGTTACTTGGGGTGCGTTATCGTGGGCAGAGGTGTCCTTAGATACTATCCTTCTTCGCAGTGGTGATGATCATCTACCTTTACGTCGATACTCGGAGGTTTCGGATGCTGTCTAGGGAGGAGAAGCCTTTTAGAGGGGCTGGTAGGTGGTCAGAGAGGGGGAGGGGTAGTAGTAGGTGTGACCGGAGTTGCTTTAGCGCTCGCCCGAGCGGGTCCGGTGGGAGAAGCTACCCGTATGAATGCGGAGTTACGGCCTGTTGCTGTTGTGAAGGAGGATGTGTATGGGGAAGAGGAGGAAGCAGTGGTAGGGAAAAGGTGTGGTCTGTGGGGATCGAACCTGGGATCTGGAGCCCTAGGTGTTATCTACTCTGCCGAAGGTGCTGTGGTTTACCTTATCGTGTCCTCTTGATGCAGGTTTTAGAAACGAAGCTCACGACGCTTGAAGACGAGTCCAACACGCAGTCACTGGCCGCTGAGACCTCTCCGAGTAAGGCGACGACTCTAGCGGTCCCAGTGGTGACTCAGACGCGGCGCCCGGTGATAGTATCTACCACGCCAGCACTGATCGAGTTCGAACTGGTGCCGGTCACGAATAGTGGTAGAGGGGAGGGCGGTGCTGAGGCTGGGTCTGATGATGTTAGACTTGAGACTGTTGTCAAGAGTGAGGTGGGAGGAAGAGGGCAGGAAGCCGGTACCGGCGTGTCGGGTGGTGATGGTGACACGCTCAAGCCTAGTACAACGAAGGGCGGCGGCGGCGGCGTAGGGGAAGTGAGGGCTGAGGCAGAGGTGGATGTGAGCAGTAGTAATATTGGAATTGTTGGGATGGCAACAACAACAAGAGCGGAAATGACGAGGACTGTAGGGCGGGCAGCTGGAATGGAGACGACCCCGTCAACCTCTGGGACTAGCAAGGGGCAGCGGACTAGGGCTGAGGATATGGCAGAGATCGTTAAGCGGCTGGAGAGGTTGGAGGATGAGGTGGCGTCCAAAACACAGACTAGAGGGTGACGGTAGAAATGCATTTACCAACGTTGATGATACCTTTGAGTGTTGTTCGTATATTACGTAACGTGGTGGTGGATGGTGCAGTGTTAGTATGGTGGTCATGCTGGAGGGCAGTGGCGTTAGTTTATGGAGAGATGGGAGAGTGAGAGCCTTTTGGGGGTAGGAGGCAGCCCTCCACCCCCGGCCCTATCGATAAAGAGGAGGGTAAGGAGGACGAGGGGGCAAGGTGAGGATAGGGGGTGGACTTTGGGGATCATCTAGGAACCTATAATGCTACCGGGGGGAACTCACTTGGATAGGAGCACATTCTTGGAACAGTTTCCCATGAGAATGTCGACATTTCCCGATTGTTATCAAACCCTGGGGACTGTGCTATCTCTCAAAGCTGGATGGGCCCC